GGGTAAACAACATGGGCTGAAGGGTCCCGCCTCGCCAACAGCTGCCTTCCTGAAAGCCCCCCCTCCACAGGTGCATCCATTGCTCCCCCAAAGTACCCCATAGCAGGGTCGCCTGGGCCAGGCCTGGGACCCGACAACCCCCACTTACAATTCCGTAGCCCTGGTAGGTCCAGCTTCTTCACATAATGGGCAGAGAGCTGCTTCATAATAATTCCTACAGGGAGTGTCAAAGAAGTGCTCATGGCACAGACTAGGTCCGCAGCAGACTGCTGTGACCCTGCTTGAGACCCCAAGGAGTGGCCAAAGTCAGTGAGGAGAAAGGCCAGGCAGGTGTGGTGCTTGGAGGGGTGGGGCACCATGCACAAGCTAGGCCTGCATGCTCACCCCAGCTCTGCCACCTGTCTCCACAGGCTTGAGGTTGACCAGGTGGCTGTCAAAGTCCACCCTGCATCAGACATCTGTCCCCTCACCTGCCAAGTTGCAGGCAACAATTCTGATCCTTGACAGGTTATTTTTAACGTAGCTCATTGTTTCCAGCAGGAAGCCATAGAGAACAGCAGGCTTTTTCTGAGTCTGCGAAAGGTAGAGGGAGAGTTCCCAAGGACGGGCCAGGGTCACAAACTGAATTTTTGCCACAATTCTGCTTGCAAGCCAAATTGCTTACAAGCCAAATTCCCCCACAAGGTTCACGTTGAACCTAACCATTGGGTTTGATTCCATTTGCCAGCAATTTGGTTTGTGACCAGAAGCATGGAAAGAATTTAAGCTCATGAACTGAGGTGGCACTGTGTAAAATGGTCATGTTTTGATTATATTGAGTTAAATAAAATGTGTTAACGAAATTATGCTTGCCCCTTTCCACTTTTCAGAATGGCACGGCTATGCAACTTTATAAAGTAAGCAAGTGGTCAGCGCGCCACCTCGGTAGGGCCCCGGGGCAGCGCTGGGCGGCTCCCCTCGATCCGCTCACCAAGATGGAGCACATGGTTGTCTGGAAAGTGATCATCTTGTCATCATCAGTGCCAGCGTCGCTGTGCCCCAAGGGGCTCTCCAGGGACTTCCAGCCCCAGAAGTGCACACACTGGAGCATGGTAGCCACACAGGCCTGGAGGGACACAGGACAGCAGGAGAGGTGTCAGGGAGCTGGCTGGACTGCCCCCTTGTAAGGGGTGAGCCATGAGAAGCCAGGGCAGCCCCAGACAGACTGGAGTCAGAAAAAGGCCAGGCTAGGGCTCCTGGAGGCCATGGAGACCCAGGGCCCCACTAACTCCCGTAAAACCCTGTGTGCATTTATGAACGTGCTCTGCCCATCCTGTGCTTTCAGGCAGCACTTTGGCACTCGGTAATCCTGCAGGATCTGGGTGTGGAGTCCAACTGGGTGGGAAGGGCAGGGGGACCTCCAGTTCGCCTGGCCCTGCCTGAACCTTCCTGTGCTGCTGCAATCCAGCCCTTGGCCTCTGGCAAGAGAGAGATGGGCATTGTCCCCAAGGAGAGGTGCAACACCTGACTCTATTGCGTCCCCACACCCAGAAGTGGCCCCCAGGAACTGTCCTGGAGGAAGCGGTGCTGGTCAACAGACAGGGAGTGCCGGGGATCCTGGCCCATGTGGAGCTTCAGAGCCTTGTGAGCAGCCCACACAGGGCCACTGCAGCCACAGCTGGCCACTGTTGCCTGCAGAGGCCACAGCCTAGCAGCGGCTTAGGCCTCTACCTCCTGCCACCTACCATGGACCCTGAAGAGGGGCAGCAGCCAGCCAGGCCTGCCTGCAGAATCCTCACAGCCCCAAAGTGGGTCTACTCCTCAGCAGAGCGGGGAGTGAGATTTAAGGTGAGTTTTAATGAATGGAGCTCTAATGCCAGAAGTGACCCACCATGTGCAGACGTGCTGAACAAAGGGACACTGGCAGAAGATGGCTGTGGACAGGGAGGGACAGAGCCTGAGGAAGCCACACCCCTTCCTCGCACAGCACTGAGGGTCCTTCACCCAGCGCCAGCTGTCCCTGTCCCCAGCCTACATGAAGGATAGGGTGGCCGCAGAGTTCCTGCGGAAGACTGAGCAAGGCACACAAGGCCACAGCCACCAGTGGCCGCAGGCCCACAGGCCCTGTGCCTTCGGGTGATGCAGACCTGGGCTGTGCTGGAGCAGGGGTCCTGGCAGTGCAGCAGGAGGGGCACCCAGGCTCTCCTCACTTCCTCCTTGAAGAAGTGCCTCCTGGCAATCCCAACCAGCCTGGCCAGCTTCCCAAAGAGGATGAAAGCCTTTTCCCGGAGCACTTCGCTCTCCTGTGGCCAGGACACACAAATGGGCTGCGTTGGCTGCCGTTCCCAGGGCAGGAAACCAGACAAGCCCCAGCCACTGTCCCCAGGACTGTTTCCAGCCCCTTGGCCCCTGCCGAGCCTTCCAGGCCCTCCCCAAGGTCCAGTGACTCTTGCTGCACTCTTGGAGTCTGGGAGGGAGGGCATGGTTCTGTCCTTTGGGGCCCCCTGTACCCTGAGTAAGGGCTTGTGGGGGTTTGACCCCACACCCCTGGGTCAGTCCCAGGGCATATGTGACAGGTGGTCCCAGAGCATGTGAGAGTGGAAGGGGACACTTTTTCCCTCCTACCATGGCAAAAGGCTACCACCCCTCGGTGTGGCCCCGGAGCACCACAAGGGCTCCCATGTTCAGCTAATCCATGCACCCTCTGCACTCACGTTGTCGAAGAACAGCCTGCACTGCTCAGAGATGGCCTTGAAAGCAAAGCCCACATCTCCCTCCCGGAGCTGGGCCAGGACCTTGGTCAGGGCCTCCATGCCCTCCGTGGTCACCATCACCCTGCTGTCTGTGGCCCCTTGCAGGGAGCCCAGGCACTGCTGCAGCAGGAGCTTCCGGTACTGCTTCACCTGGAGGGGAGTGGACAGCTCAGCCTTGGCCTTGACGCTCCTGGCAGCCTGCAGCCCGGGGCCCGAGCCAGTTCTGTACCTTCCGGGGTGCACCGAGGGCCATGTTGCCCAGGGCGCGCAGGGACAGCACCTGCAGGGCCTCATCCTCCTGCTGCCCTGCCCCCTTCTCCAGCAGCAGCACTGCTGTCCTCAGCAGCTTCTCCTGGTATAGTACTGGGTTGCTCATGAACTGGAAAGGAGCGTGTTTCTCAGGCAGTGCCCCCGGGGGAGCCCATCTCTCAGCAACCAGGTGGGACAAGGTCAAGAGCCTTGCCTGGGACAGTGGCTCTATGCACGGGGGGGTTGGGAAATACAGTGCCTCAGTTTCCCCATCTGTACATAAAGAATGATTCGCAAGACCCAGTCCTAGCCCAGGTCCGGTGAGTGTGTGGAGAGCTTCCTGCTAACCTGCGCCGGCGGGACCAGTCCCAGCCCAGGCGCAGTGTGGGCTGGACCCTCTCCCTCCCCCTTGGGCCACCCCCACCACTCCACCTTATCTCCCCACCCCTCCCGCCGAGTAGGAATTTCTGCCGACTTCCGGGAACCCCCAGACCCAGTCCTAGCCCAGGTCCAGTGAGTATGTGGAGAGCTTCCTGCTA